TGTGCTACAAACTTTTGACTGGCCTATGTTGTATAAGTGCTGAATGACTCAGCAGGGCAGCCTTCAGATTAGCACTAATTTTAACTATTATGATAAATAAAACTTTGTTTTTATATTGGAACATGGTGTATACAGTTTAAAATATTTAAATACTTCTCACCTGTTAACGTGTAATAATCATGCTATCACATGTTTACAAAAACCAGACAGCCCCGCATTGCACGTGCATTCTCCCTGTAATTAAGATGTATTAAAATGCCAATACTGTATTTGACATTGCAACACTAAAGCAATATGAACTTTGGTGTTGTTGTTAGAGTTTAATCCACAAAATACGATGTGTCCAGCATCCAAAACGGCTTCACCTTCTACAAGACAACGTTTCCTGTCGCCGTTAGTCTAGAATTTGACATAAATTCAATGATTTGTTCTCAATTTGGTCCTCGCAGTAGTCGTCACCGACGGAAACTAAATCGGCTCAGGCACTGAACAAGCACGTGGTCGTTCCCTTATCCTGTTTCGGCAGCCATCTTGGCTCAAAAACAGCGCCATCTGTCGGATTTGGCGCTTGCCTATATTCAACGGTTGACTCAATGGTGAGAGAACAACGTTTCTAAATGGACCGTTGAGTTCTCCGTTGAGACTAGTGACGTCAGCGCTGTTTCACCGTCGAGCTCAACCGTCTGAACGACCTGAAAGACCGTTGAGTACTCAACAAACTAACATGGCGACTTCCATGAAAAAGTAAATTTCGCTTATAGAAACTATCCATTCGCTGCTGTAATAGCGGGCAGATTAATGAACGAATTGAATATGATAAAACATGTGATTGCGCGATTATGTTGGATAATTTGGTCAATATTGAAATGTTAAGATTTTTTTCATTTGTCCAAAATTGATTACGACCGATATTTAGCCCTCTAATTCTTCCTAATAATATAAATATTCAATTAAAATTATTAAAGCAAGACTCGGTACACAAGAAAATGATACAGATATGGGTTCATTTGAATAAAAGGATTTATTCGAATAATGGTTAAGCGAGTTACTTTAATTATTTAGCAAAACAGACACAATCGCCACCTTCTCGTTGCTTATGTCAGCCATCTTGAAAAGCTACCTCTCAACGAAACCGTTTCTTTTTTCTGCAAAAGTGTGACGTCAGATCGTTCAACGGAGAGACTCAACGAAAAATTCACTGTCGAGTCAAACGTACAGACAGAGTGTAGATCAGTGTTTCTCAACCTCTAACGAAACGTCACCCCCTTCAATAAAACCGTTACGTAGTATCGCCTCCTTCACTACAAAATTCTGGTGCCCAGGGACAAGGCTAACGCCAAATGCGTACTGCATCGAATAGACTAGTGATTAGTATAATGTTATTTGTTTAATTATTGTACGATATAACGAATAAAATATCTAATTATTCTTAATATAATGTTTTACTATATCGCCCAGAAAATTGTTTTTCGCCCCCAAAATATAAATTGTTACTAATCGCCCCCTCAACATGGAAAAACGCCCACGCGGGGCGATATCGTCCCCGTTGAGAAACACTGGTATAGATTAACTGGTCTTTCGACTACCTATTTTCGTTAGTGGCTAAAATCAACTAGAGACAAATGTTACCACCAGGGGCACTGCAATCACTACAAGAGTAGGTGGGCATAGGCTGTATATTATTCCGTTAAACATTCATATAAATTAAAAGATCTCATTTAGGTTAAGGCTTTTATGTTTAACTCGTTTGACGTTACGAACGTACCCATTATTAAAGAAACTCGACTTCTATTGTATTATTTTAAATGCGGTTTTTTGCGTTTTTGACTGCGATTAAATAGAGTATTCCATGAGAATGCACATTATGAAGGGTTTTTGGATATTCTACTCCCCCAGGGAAGAGGAGGACAGAATTAGTTTTAGTCAGTATAAAGTGTAAGTAATAAAGAAGGAAAGTAAATAGTGGCACATNTTAGAACCATGAATGAAATTTGATTAAAAAAATCCCATTAAAAAACAATTAAGCGTTAATCGTGCGTCATTAAAGGTAAATTAAAATCGCAATAAATTTTTTTTGCGCGGGAAAAAATTTTTGAAAAAATTTGGAGACTTAAAATCATTAAAAAATCTAAAAAAAAAACATTTTTCAGAGGGCCCAAACGACCGCGTTTTATGTAACGCTATAGAACTTTTCCGTGTTACCTCGTGCTTGAGGCTTAAAGTGTTTTTAGTAAACAGAAATTCACTTATTAGATCATCGTTGAACTTGCATTGTCTTTTCTTGCTCATTATGTCAAAAATAGTCTACTAAAAAATAATGTAATTTAAAATTATATTATATTGTAATTTTTCGTCTGTCCTATGTTGCCGGNATCATCGTTAAACTTGCATTGTCTTTTCTTGCTCATTATGTCAAAAATAGTCTACTAAAAAATAATGTAATTTAAAATTATATTATATTGTAATTTTTCGTCTGTCCTATGTTGCCGGAGTCCCAGCAAAGAATGCTCGTTGTTCACCAAGGACTTTAAACTACAAGGATAGCCAGATCCCGTTTATTTGTTAGCGTGACCTTGGATCTATGTGACGTCACAGCAAGCCCTCTACTTCAACATGACAGATTTTTCAAATAACAAAATACGATAAAATATTAAATCATTTCTTAATTAATTATTAAATTACTACTAAATGTAAANTCATTATGTCAAAAATAGTCTACTAAAAAATAATGTAATTTAAAATTATATTATATTGTAATTTTTCGTCTGTCCTATGTTGCTGGAGTCCCAGTGTTGTTCACCAAAGACTTTAAACTACAAGGATAGCCAGATCCCGTACATTTCTTAGCGTGACCTTGGATCTATGTGACGTCACAGCAAGCCCTCTACTTCAACATAACAGATCTTTCGAATAACAAAATACGATAAAATATTAAATCATTTCTTAATTAATTATTAAATTACTACTAAATGTAAACTACCGTAGAATTTTCGGATNGAAATGGATAGCGCCAATAGTTCACCCATGAAGAAATTCATCGTCGGTGGGAAGTATAAACTCATACGTAAGCTAGGAAGTGGTTCGTTCGGAGACGTTTATCATGGCATCGACATCACAAATGGAGAAGGTGTTGCTGTAAAATTGTCAAGAAAAGCAAAGCGTTATCAATTACTCTACGAAAAGAAATTATATGAAATTATTCGAGGAGCTGCCGGTATACCACGTGTTCGATGGTATGGACAAGAAAGTGATTATAACGCTCTAGTCATGGACATTCTTGGGCCAAGTTTAGAAGATCTTTTTACATTCTGTTCACACCGTTTTACTATGAAAACAGTGTTAATGCTGGCTGATCAGATGATTGAACGAATTGAATATGTTCACAACAAGAATTTAATTCATCGAGACATTAAACCAAATAACTTTCTTATGGGAATCGGAAGACATCGCATTATGCTATATCTCATAGACTTTGGTTTAGCAAAACAATATATTCGCAGAAGAAAACATATACCTTATCGTGAGAATAGAAAATTGACTGGTACTATCAGATATATCAGCATTAATACCCATTTGGGTATCGAACAAAGTCGTAGGGACGATATGGAGTCGATTGGATATGTCTTAATGTACTTTAATCGCGGAAGTCTACCGTGGCAAGGTTTGGAAGTAGCAACCGAAACAGAGAGATACGAAAAAATACGTGAACTAAAAATGTCGATACCAGTAGAAGTTCTTTGTAATGGATTTCCGGCCGAATTTGCGACGTACTTGAATTACTGTCGACGTCTCCGCTTTGATGAAACTCCAGATTATACTTACCTGAGGCAATTATTTAGCAATTTATTTCGCACACTGAATTATGAATACGACTACGTATTCGATTGGGACAATGTTAATTTAATTAATTTAATTAAGCAAAAACCGAAGGCCGACCAGTCGGCAGTAGCAAATTGATGTTTTTTTGAATGGGCTTCGTTTTATCTTAATATGTGTTGCTCGTTTGTAATGTACATATCTTTTAATTAAACTGTAAATGTTTAAATTCATCTAATAACTTTTGTAAACTCTTTAAGAATTAAAAATTTTATTTCGTTAATGTTCATTATTGAAAGTAGCCAAGATATATTTTATAGAATTTTCTCAGTCATTGCTATAATCTCATGGAAAGACTTAGGAATGCGTTAAATCTTTAAGAAAGAAATAAAAATTAGGTATTAGTTTAATTAATGTCACAAAGAAAGACTACAATAATATCAGTGTCAATTAATTTGATGGAAGCTGTTAATCATCATTAGTCAAAAAAAAATAT